CTGCTGTGATCTGCAGACTGGGAAGACAGCGTGTTATATGGTTCACAAGTGCTGGTCAGTTTGTGTTTGGCATCGCGGTGGCCTTCACATTTGACTACTACAGTTTCGTGATTATGCGCTTTCTCCTTGCTATGGTAAGAAAGGATGTTCACCCTGAATCTTTTTATGTGTCATCTCCTACCCCTTCTCAGGAAAACCTCCCTTTTGTTCTTATTTCTTCCCCTATTTCACTATTCTAAAGCCCCCTCTGTTGCACTTATTTCAGCAGAGCAGGGAGAGTCTGAATGTTCTTGGACCACAGCACTTTTCCTCTTTGAATTAATAGAAAGCATCTGTATGAAGCAGTGTTTGGTACTTCCTCCATCCCAACCTCTGCTGGACTGGTAATTAAATACCAAGTGTGAGCAGCAAACTCTGGATTCTGCACTGCAGCTGCCATTGCATTTCTCCTTATTGTCAGAAATGAAGTATAATTTTCTTAACATAATGAATCTATAATAAGTATGATTTTTATCTCTACCATTTTGAGTGATGGAGGAGAGATGCACATTTTCTCTTCCATGCATCTCTTTGGTCTTTTAGACTATATCTGAAATACTAAATACATAGGTAGACATGTTTAATACCTAGATATTTATACTGTACTTAAGGGTATGCCAGTATATGTTTATGTGTATCTATGCGCATAATTTTTTATATATATATATGTATGATGTATATCCAATATCTACTATATATTCAATGTTTATAGATATAGTAACCAGTTTTAAATTACTATTTTACATCAAAAAGTATAATATTTGTAATCTTTCACTATATAATGCATATAGAAATCAGAAAGCTATCACAAGAAAAATTATGTAAGTTATTTAAAGCAGGTTAGAAATTTGAAAATAATGACAGAATTTATTTTATTCGTGCTGGCAGTGCATTATTCAAGACAGGACCTTGCACCTGGAGAACCCTTTGCCTGATTAGAGCTCAGAAGGATTTCCTAGCAGAAAAAACTTCATGGGCATTTCAGCCTTGAACAGTGAGATCAACAGGAGTCCCTCTGCTGACTCCCTTGGCTGCTGATGCTAGGGGCTGTGGTAGTTTAGAAAAGCAAAAAGCTCCGAGCAGACAGGTGCTGTAGGTTTTAAGTGCTCACTGGGACTGATTTGTGAGATAGAGGTCTAAAGCTCTGCCCCTGTGCCACTGAGATCAGCACAGCTTCCCTATCAGGTTCAGTGGGTTCAGAATCAGACTTCATTAACTGGAATATTTTTAACCAGAAAATTGATTAATCAAAACAATATACTGGAATATTTTCTAGTCTAGATTTTGTAACTGTGTTTTGAAATGTTTTGAGATACCAAGAGTTTAACTGTTACTAGAGAAATTGAAAAAAAAAAAAGAGTATTCAATAATATATAGCATTTTTTCATTGAAAATATGCCAGTAATTGCATTCCATTAATATGGCTAGAAAATATATGAGAACCTATAGCCATATAAAGGAGATTATTTTCCAACATTGTAAAAATTTGATTTTATGAGATAATTTACAAGGTTGTGGAAGGTAATTCTTAGTAAATTTGTGGTTCCTGACATGCAGATTATTACTAGTCTGCTTAAAAGCCAAGGTCAAGATTTTCAGAAGTGTCAATCTCTTCAGGGGATCTCATTTTCCCAAGGGTCCAGTTTGCCATGTCATTAAGAGATCTGATTTTTGAAGGTGAAGGGCTTAATGACATTAGCAAACTACGCTCTTTTTCAGGTGTCTCTTGCTCGTTGTCCCCCACTACAGAGAAGCATCCAAAATCACTTCACATTTTTAAATATAGTGTCCGGGCAGTCTGAAGGTTTGAGTGAACTTTTTCTCCAGCTTATTTGTTTTCAGGGTTGCCTTTTTTTCTGTCAGTGTGAGACATGCCAGTGCAGTGACAATTAAGCATACACAAATGTGGAACATTGTTAGCTGTTTGTTTTTACAAAAAAACTGTTGCACAAGGAGAGGAGATACAAACTTCTCTTTTTTCTTTTTTCTCTCTTTCCCACCCCCCTAGGTTTCAAGTGGCTATCTGGTTGTGGCTTTTGTTTATGTGACTGAATTTGTTGGCATTAAAGCACGAACATGGGCCTCTATGCATGTCCATGCTTTTTTTGCTATGGGAATTATGATTGTGGCACTCGTGGGATTTTTAGTTCGGACCTGGTGGGTCTATCAGATGTTTCTCTCCATAGCAACTCTTCCCTTTGTCTTGTGCTGCTGGATGCTCCCAGAAACACCTTTTTGGCTCCTGTCAGAGGAAAGATACGAAGATGCGCAAAAAGTAATTAATATAATGGCAAGATGGAATAAAGTAAGCACTCCCTGCAAAGTTTCCGAACTGTGCTCAGTCCAAGATGATCTAGTCAGTGACAGAACAGGTGACAATGACACGTCCTCAGCAAAGAAGCACAGCATCTCAGACCTGTTTTGTAATTGGCACATTGCAAGAAGGACCATCACAGTCTGGCTGATCTGGTTCACTGGGAGCTTGGGGTACTACGTCTTCTCCCTCAGTTCTGTCAGTCTAGGAGGCAATGAATATTTAAATCTTTTTCTCATAGGTAAATATTTTTGTACCTTATTCTGTTTATGACAGAACTAGAACATAACATTTAGAAATTCTATAGATTTGACAGCCAATTTTTAAACTTTGTTCATTCAATTATAAACCTTGTTCAAAAAGTGTCTTGCTAACGCTTCAGAAGACTAACACAGGAGAAGTATCGTTCACTCCAAATCTCACTGTTTCTGAAACAAAGAAGAGAATTTTAAATTTGTTGGTATACAAAATTCTTCTCTGTCTGTCTTTGTGATTGTAAAGCCATATTCTGCTTGTCTCCTCTTTGCCTGCAAGGCTATAGCAGTTCCACACAAACACCAAGGGAAGCAGCCCCGCAACAGAAAATTCGCACGGCTCTGTTATAGGCACAAACTAGGAAAAAGAAAGAAAAAAATTATCCCTTTAGTCATTTACAGTCATGATATATTGCGTCAATCTGTGTAGAAAATAGATTCATAATTCTCATAAGCAAAAGTAATTTTAGTTTTCTCAAAAGTATATTTTTAATTTAGTTGTACTATTCTTTTAATTTTGTTGGTCTGACTGTAACCTTTCTCTGGTATGTTGGTTGTTTATAAAGGTGGCATTCAAATGCATTCAAGGCCTGACCCAAACTTGGTTAAAATCAGTGGAAATATTCCATTGCCTTCAGAAGACTCTAGATCAGGCACGCAGCTCTGAGCCAGCAAAGAATTAAATCACGCACTTGGCTTTGTGCGACTGAGCGCTCTCAGTAAAGTGAATGTGACTGTTCGTGTACATAAGCACGCAGACGGAGTGGAGCTCCCCTGAATTCAGTTTGTGTTGTCACATATTATAGTGTGTTGATAGACTGACGTGTTGAAGAGCGGATGCTAGTATTGCACAGATAGCTAAGCTGTTGCGGTGGAGCACAGTGTTGTAAGTCACCATATCCCCCTCTTCCAAAAACATTTTAGCAGACTAACAAACACTGAATAATTGCAGCCTGCTTTTACCAACACAAGCCCATAAGATTGTTTCCCGATATGATAAGTGTATTGACATACTATATGTGCGTAGTAAAGGAATGCAGCACACTTGTTAAGGGCTGGATATGTTCTTCCTTGATGTTACATTGGACATAGTAGCATTCTTCACGAGCAAGTTGGTTTAAAACATGTCTGAACTGGCTTAGGCTCAATATAACGTGTCTAGTGGCAAATCATGTTTAAACAGGGTTTGTGAACCGTCCTAGCCAAATGTCAGTTCCTTTAGAGCTGCAGCAGTTTTCTTCTGGAAATAGACATTAGGAAGAGATGATCTGAGCGAGAGTGAGATATTGTAAGCAGCTGCCTCCTTTTTAGTGGAGAAAAGAGAAAGCTGGAAATGCACTCTCTGCATTTGTGGAGCTGGCTCAGAAAAAAATGGACCTGGAGAGACCTTGCTTGCCTTTTACATCAGGGTGATTTGGGGCTGAAGCTGGGGAGGCACCTCTGGCTTCAGTTCCTGGCACCTGTGTCGAGGTGGAAGCTGGCAAATCCCGAGAGGCGTGTTGGTGCGACACCAGCAATGTTCCTTGTGGGCACGCCTAAGCTGTTGATGTGAAAAAAACTGAAGCAAAAGGGCAGCACATGGAGAGCTTTCAGTCACAAGTGCCAGTGTCAGAAAAGCAGGACCGTGGCCTTGCTGTTTTCTGTAATTTTCCACCCCAAAGAGAACCGGAGCAGCTCTGTGCTGTGAAACCCGTTTCCCGCGTCCTTCTCCATCCCCCACTGCCATGGTTTAGGCCATGTTTTCTGCCTTCTGTTGCCATTTCTGTTACAAAGTGAATGAGCCCAACACAATGGTTATCTCTGGATTTCACTTATTGCCCCCTAGATTAAATTCATCCTCATAAAGAGGAAGTTAGAGTTATAACATGAATATGTGTAATCATGACTTAAAACGAAATAATTTCATACTGACAGGTGCTGTGGAGTTGCCTTGCTATGTCATTGCTTGCATTGGGATGGACAAACTGGGAAGGAGAAACACACTCATTCCGTTCCTTATTTTAAGTGCATTGATCTGTGTTTTAATTATGTTCATACCTCAGGTTAGTCACGTATCGTTGAAAGTGTCGCTACAGTAGAAATTGATTTTAAAGACTGTCTGTAGATGCAGCTGCTCTTTCTAAATCATATAATTGACTAAAGGCTGGTTTTAAAATGTGGCTGCCAGTCTAAGATAGATTTCTGTATTTTCAGTACAGGTTTCACAGTTTCATTGCTGGAGTCACATGTAAAATGTTCCTAGGGCTTCAGTGAACCAGGACCGGTAAAAAGTTATATGGACACTAGTTACTTATTGAGCCCAATTTTTAAAAAGCAAGCAATAAGTATTCCTTATTGTTTAAAGAAGGGTCATAACTTTTGAAGAATTTGAATTAAGTTTGGAACAGTGTTATTTTCTGGTGATTTATTTATTTGTGCTCTCTTTCAATAGGATTTCAATATATTAATTATCTTAGCAAATATGGCTGGAAAATTTTCAATAGGTGTGGCATTTGGCCTTATATATCTCTACACAGCAGAACTGTACCCAACAATTGTAAGGTAAGAACTTTCACCAGTCATAGATTTTTCATTGTTTTGCTATTATTTCCTTTTCTTTATTACGCTCCTGGGCCAGATCCAGCAACTCTTGGCATTAATGCCAGTGGCCCGAAAAACTTGGAATGGGATGAGTTCCTCCACTGCTTCAGAGTTGTCTAGTATTTGACTGTACAATAAATTTTTATTTATTTTTCATTTCCATGAGCATTGACAGGTTTCACTGACGAATTAAAAGAATACTCAATACTTTCTTAAATATTATTTCTGCCTCTCTTAAAAGTCCTGGTTGTTCATCCTGTGATCTATGCTGAATGAGGATTATCTTTTTAATCTTAATTATAGAAGCAGCTGAATTTCACTACAATAGAAATTTACAGTGATGTAGCAATAACTTCATACTATAATTGCATAAAGACACATAGCATCCTACTGGTGTTTTAAGTGTCTGTGCATTTTTAATTGTTTGCTTTATCTGCCAGAATTCTTATTGAATCTTTGGTTTACGTGTAGATCACTTGCAGTTGGAAGTGGAAGCATGATGTGCCGTGTAGGAAGTGTGGTTGCTCCTTTCTGTGTGTATCTGAGAAGCGTTTGGATTTTCTTGCCACTCGTAAGTATTTAGTTCAATGGTGAATGTTTCTGGCTTTGGCAAGGCATAGGTGTCACTTGTTTTCTCAGGAACCAAAGATGAACTTTTATTTTGAAAGGGAAATTGAATGAACCTTTCTTGTTCCAAATTTTAAGTCTCAAAAATTAGTAACTTCATATTGTTAAAAATATACAACTAAAGCAAAAGGGAAACTTTGAGTCACTGAAATATTCTGAAATGGTTTTATGATGGAAGATATAAAAATTTCCATAAAAATATACTATATCTACCATGTCACATTTAAGAAGTGTCTTAGTCCATACTTCTTTACTCTGCAGGCCTAGCAGTTCTTGACCATGCTCTTGATTTATTCTTACCCTTTTCCAAAGGCATAGATCTTCCATTCTTGGAATTCAGCATGGGTGGCTCTTTTTTCTTACATTGCTCCTGAATCTTTTCCTGGGACATTGCGTCTTTGGAATAGCCTTCCAAAGATCAAGAATATCGTATGCTTGCTATACTTGGTCTTCACAACTGTCCCAAAGATCCCTTTTTATGTTTTTCATCTACAAGAACTGAACAAAACAATTCATGAGATAGAAAAAGAGAAGCAAATGGTATGTCGATGAGGTTCATGGTGACTTTGACAAGCAACAGAACCTTGGATTAATTAAGCACATCCTACTTGTAGGTGACTCCGGGTCATGCTATCATTAGGTTTTGTCTTCTACCACCAGTTGCCCCAGGAAAAGAGGGGGGACTTTGTGGACTTTGGGCATTTTGCACGTGCACATAGTGCATGTCTGCACTGTGTAGCTTCAGATCCAATTTTTGACAAAATATTTTATGTATTTCACTGATAAGTCACATTTCTTCATTACATTTTTGTTATGAGGTATTTGCTGCTTAGAAATCCTGCAGCTATTCAATCTCCTTCTTTCTCCTGAAGGATAATTTATGCCCATATATGTAAAAACATAAATTACAAAGTTTATATTAAGACTTTGAGTAGAGGAGAGTTTATTAACCATTTAAAAATAGTTTGAGTTCTTTCAAAACCCTTTAGAATTCACTGTAAACAGCACAGCGATGTTATATGTAGATTATACAAGTTAGAAGAGGAAAATGTAATGGGATGTGTCTTTAACCTAGATTCTTACTCTAATTTTGTCTACTGCGTTGGAATTTCCTGAAAAAATGGCATTGTGTCCTTTTGATTATAAAATCTTCAATTAAAGATGCTACAGATTGGTTTTGGAGAATTATTTGGAGCTTGTTTCATTATTTAAATTAATTACTTTCAGTTGTTTTGGATGAAAGTTAAGAGGATGAAGCAGACCACAAATTAATGTATTCCCTTAAGCTCCTAAAAAATGTTTTCTTTCTTAATAATGGCCCCATACAACCCAAGATACCATCTCAGAAAACGCAAAGAAACATTTGCACAGCAGAGTGATCATGGGAGAACATTCTTCTTCTCTTGTCAGTGTTTTGCCTTTACTGGCTGAGATAAGCTTTATCTGTGCAGAAGCACTGCAGTTAAACCACAGATGGGGAATGCTCAAACGTGCTGGAGAGCAGTGGAAATGGCAGTATAAACAGAGGAACTATTTCAGCTATGAACAACTCTCAGTGTACAAGAAGTATCCAGCGTATTTGTAGAGTTGTGTAGTAGCTCACAGTGAATATGTTTTCATTATTAGCTACTATTGTAAGACATTTGCCTGTTTATTAAATAAGCGTGTCTTGAGTTGGAGCATAGCTTGCCAAGTCTCAGGTAACAGAAGTGTTTTGGAATGCAAGTGAGATGAAACGGATTACATTTGTAAGTAAACTGATATATGTCATGTTGATCTATTGTATACACCATACATTGTCAAGCAGTTACTACTGCTATTTGTTTGACAGTCTGCCTCCCATACAGTTGTGCCACCTATGAGTAATGCAAGCATCTCATTTGAATGCCTATAAATCTTTAATAACTTGCCAAGTATTTTTTTCATGTGACAACTTTCTAGAACTTACAGTAAAGCAACTGTTCCATGTATAACCTATTTCTGTTTCTCAGCTGTTAAGAATTATGTTACAGTAGCCCTTTAGCGGGTTTGATATGTCTCAGATAAACCATAAACTATAAATTAAAAAAAAAAAACCCATCTCCACTGAAGTCAGTAAAGTTAAAGGAATGCAAAACCTGTGTCTAATATTAGTGGATTTTCAAGACAAAATTTAACCTTTTTTTGTTGAAGTAGGAATTTTGTAAGTAAGATCACATTTTAGATTGGTTCACAGCCATCAGATGTGGATATAAATAGAAATAGCAGACTAGAATGATCATTTGTTGTCAGAAGTAAAAGTATTATTTTGTAGAGATATTTAATTCAAATTATCTTTTGTTCTAGACTAAATATATTAAGTCCTGGTTTTAGACCTCTGTGAAATCAAAATTGTTGCTCCAGGGAGGGAGGAAAACATCTGAAAAATGGTGGTAAATCTTTTTTTGAAGTTATTTATGGTAGCTGTTAGAAGCTGCTGGCTGTCCTGAAGCGTTGGGAATAGTTTGCAGGTTTGGCTAAGCAGAAAGTCCAATTTGAAATTAAGACCCTGAAAAAGCAACAAATTTAAGCAGGTACTCCTGAAAATTAACTTTGATGGAGCTTAAAGATATTTAAATACTTTGTACAATAGTACAACTTAATCCATAAGCATTTAACTCATTGACTATATCAGAAGAACACTTTCTGATGCTGAATTATATGTGTAAAATAGTCCAGATATACAAAATGTACACATTTGTTATGAGCAAGCAAAGAGCTACGTTCTGTCGGATGGCTCGTGAAGAAATGTGCCTAGATAAGACTGCAAAAGACTTGCTTAGACTAAATGTAACTTTGTTGATAAGTGTGGTTACTGCCCTGAAAAGGTAGATGACATTTGAGAAGTCCTTTCAGTAACATACTGTGACTTAGTTGTTTCATATTCTGTCTTTCATAGGAAATATTGGAAAATGCTTTGTAGGGTTAGGGAGAGAGGAAACACACTGAATTATTTGGTGTGCAGCAGCTTTCACATGAGAAAAAGAAAACTAACCTGATGGAATAGAATTAAGAGAGCTGAGATGAAAAGACAGGAAAGATGGTGGTTTGTACATGTACAGAATAGTGAGAGTTTGCAGGTTCATGAGGAAGGAAAACATAAGAAGAATGCAAAGTGGCTAAAAGACTAACCAGAACAGAGACAACATACATTCTTAAAGCACACAGTGTTACTTTAACCTTTTTCTGTTGGGCATCAGTAGTGACCCTGCTCTCACAAACTCCAAAAAGTATGGGTATCCATAAGCTTCAATATCCTTAACAGCCCTCAATATCCTCAACAGCCCTCAGTATCCTCAAATATAAACTTATGACAGCCTAGAGGATGTGCGTAAGAGAGGTTACCATGGAAGAGCTGCCATGGTCAATTCATCCTGTCTTATAGTGGCAGAAAATCATCTTTTAATAGTGGAGAAGAGTTTTGACACTCAGAGTTGAGACTTCAATGTTTTGGAATATATTTTTAAATATCACCCATGCCACATAAATATATGCCTGCAAGGATTTCCCTCAGTTTGTCACTCAGTGCCATTTCCTCTGGTCACATTACTGCTAGGATTTTTTTTCCCAATTTCTCATGGTAAGAGCATGACTATTTTATTTTCACTGTAGTTTGTAGTATTCAACAGTATTTTGCTTATTTTTTTATTTTGTCAGCCTCTATATTTAATGCAAGTGCAAAAAGAGGAGTGCATGCAGCAGTCTCAAAAGTGCTTGAGACAAGCTGTCCTCTTCTTTTGGAGGAGGGGAGGAAGCAAAAGCAGCACAGTGTATTTGCATGAAAATAGCACTGTTCAAGGTTAAGCTGGAGAATTCCAATTTTAAAGCACCTTTCTGGCTTAAGAAGAAAGTCTGGCTTGGCTGCAGATGGTAGCTGGCCAGTTCTTCTCAAGCTCTGTGTGAGAGACATAGGCATAATAATTCCAAGTGCTCTCTCTCACACTTGGAAAGAAAGTATTAAGCAAACAGGACAGACCTGAGAATCAGCATAGGGCAAGATAAGGATAATACAGTATCAAATCGCACAGTCATAAAATGGAAAAACACTGAGGCCAGGCACAGTGTACTCTGTGGAAGCATTTCTATCAAGAGAGATTTGGGTTGTTTATAACCTGGCTTTGGAAGAATGTCAGGGTTTTAATTCTGTCTGTACTTCAAAGGAGGAAAGTGAATTGTTCTCACTGAACAAAGCACAGAAATGAAGGGGATGAAAAGATACTCCTGCAGCATGTGTGCTTCTGCATCTACCCTGCATGATCCTGATCCTTGCAGCACTCGTGCTGAAGTAAGGTGGTGTTACAGAACTGCGTACACCGTGGACAAATCCAAGTGATCCCAGTGGAAATGTCAGTAGATGCCCACATCTCTAGCAGATCTTTGAAACTGCAGTTTAGCAAAGTATTCCTGTTGAGAGCTAGATTCATTATTTGCTGAAGTGCAGATATATGTATTCTGTTTTCTCAAACAGAATTATTCCTGCTTGCACTGTATTGATCCCTTGGGGAGCAAAACATTTCTCTTGCTCTTCATTAGTTCTGCTGCATAATCTTTCACTTACACAACAAAGAAAGATGGTTCTTTTATTAAGACGTATGATCTTTGTTTTACATTACAGTTCCTTGTGCTTTATTTTAAATGTACTTTCAAGCAAGATCAAAGATGTGCATAACTTGAAAGACATTTCTACCTTTACAGCTACTGTTTATTTCTTCTAGTTGCTTGTTGGAATCATGGCTCTTCTGAGTGGAATATTAACAATAATGCTTCCAGAAACACTGGGAAAACCATTGACTAATACTTTGGTGGAAGCTACAGAAATGGGAAGAAACAAGAAAAGCTGTTCAGGAAACACTCCTCCAGCACACAGTGGTGCAGCATTAGAAAAGATGGAGATGTTTGGTCAAGAAACAGTCAGCATTGAGAAATAAAGTAACAGCAAAATGGCTGTTCCCAATTTTAATCATTATATAATTTAGAAGATGTTTTTATTCAAGAAATATGACTGTTCTATAATGTCTGTGCCTTTTAATTTGTATCTAGTCTTGCCTTTTCAACAGAGCAAGTATATAAAACCTTTTCCACATGACTGAGGTACTGCAGAAAATTTGATAGGATTTCTAGATCCCTTGTCAAATTTACCTGGGCTTTAGAAAACCTGTATCTGACTTGCTGTGACCAGTTGGAATGATTACTCTAAATGTTGGAACCTACCTGATTACAGATATGTAAAAAATACGCCAATTCTTTGCTTCACATTTTCTGCAGTTAGATTTGGAAACCCACCACAAAGTGCCTTGTCTGCTCTCATCCTATTGCAGCTGACAGTTACAGGCTTGAGACTGCAAAACATGGTAAACTCAAGCAGTTATAATTCAAGAGAGAAGCCTTAACATTGCATCAAGTCATATCAATAATTTCAGAGTCTAACTATTTTTTTTTTCAAATTTTCTACTAGAAAAGGTGCCATTGCTAACAAAGGACAGTATTCTGTGGAACAGCTTCTGACTGAAAAAATATTACTAAGTATGCAAAATGTGCAAATAGTTTGTATACTGTTCATTCTGTTGAACAGCAAATGTATTTTTATTAGCTTTTTTTTCACTGGCTCTACTACTGTCTTGGTAAGTTCTTTTTCGTTTAGGCAAAACTAAAATGCCTGGTGCCTTTGAAAGTCATATTCATTCCAGATCGTTATTTCAGTGCTCCCCTTCTCACTTATTTCAGCTCAGATCTAGCATCAGATTCTTCACAGCTTTCAAGAGCTACACCAGCAACTTTGCCAAATGCCTCCATCAAGGCCTTCCCAGTTCTCAGAGGAGCAGCGTAAGTGGCAAATGGGTTTTATTCAGGCTCTCTGCACAGAGGTGGACTTAGTTATTAATGAAAGTTTAGTAGACATGGTATCTACACATTATTTTTCTCATAGATCAGCTGTCTGTAGCTCATTTTTTCCTTACACCACACAAAATCAATTAGAAAAATAGAATTCAAAAAATGGTAGCTGGAAAACACTGATCAAGAGAAGAGTTACCAGTTACTCTAGTAATTTTAGTCAAAGTGTCTGTGAATGTCTCACTGTTGTGATGCCTTGTGTGCATCAACACTTTCTTCTTGGTGCAGTGATTCTGCCTTATGACTGTGGACCACAGGAAACTGTTAGACAGGAATGAATCATTCTGGCTGCTACTTTTATGGCTTTCTGTCCCACCTTACCTTTTTCAGTCTACCTCCAGACCTGGGAGTTTCTTTCTTGCCTGAGGATCTGTATCCTTCTCACTTGGCTACCCTTGGTTTGAGGGGAGCAGCATAGGAACCTTCTGTGTATTGAGGTTCAGACAGCCCTCTCTTGCCTGGGCTGTGTGAACCCTGTTGTCCTTGGTTTGAAATCAGAGTTCTTCTCATCTTAGGAACCTACTCTGATGCTAGCTGATATGATCTCATCAAAACAAGTCTTCCTTTTTTTCTTTGCAAGGTACCCCAAAATAAGACATCTCTATTACTGTAGATAAATATTCTATATGCTGTAGAGCTTAATGGTCACATTTTTCAATTATATCTGCACAGTTGTATTAGTTTCAATGACTTCTGAAACAAGAATAATTGTTCATATCCCCTTATAAAAGATTTTTTTCTTCAATGCACTGTCTTAGAGTGTTAGGTAGCATTTTGATCCTGGCATTAGGACAAAATCGTATCCTATATGAGGACAAACATGCTTCAAAGCCAAGCGAAAATCAGTAAGTTTAAGTTCAGGGAGTTTCTGTGTGATAATTGCATGGAAAGCAGAAAAGGATCTTTATGCTCCCTTCAGTTCTGTAGGTGTTCCAGTATCTGCAGAGGAAAACCTCCAAAGAGAACTGCACAGAATGCTATGGCTTCTGTCCAGATATATTAGTTCAGCAAAAGCATGTGCTTACCCTTACCCGTGTGAGTAATCCCATCATTATTCAGAGAACGACTTGAATACATACTTTGATGACTGTAGATAGGATTACTCACATGCTGTGGTTTTTTATTTTGCTGAAGAGCAGGCCGGGTATTCTTCCACTGCTTTCAGTTCCCCCTCCGCTTCCCAGAACAGAACAGCTCTCTTTATCTGCAAGATCTGTTGCCAAACCCTGCATGCCCTGCCTTAAACAGGGGTTTAACCATGCTAAAAAAGAAAACATCATGCAGTAGACCTAACAAGAAATTAAACTGGTTGTTTAATTCTTGCAATGTCTGACAATGCAGTAGACCTAACAAGAAATTAAACTGGTACTGTCTGACGTTGCAACCACCCTCCCCCCTACAGAGCTCCAAGTAATTGCATTATTTTGGGTTTTTTCCACACTGATACTCCCTTTTATTAGTACAAGGTCCTACCTTAAACTCCTTAGTCTTGAGTGCTGGGGACGGTACAGTGTATTTCTAACAAGGTACTAAAGAGCAAATAAAATTATTTTTTCTACTTCCTTACCAGCTGAATAACTGATTTGGGGGTTACCCTGCTAAGAACAGTCAATGCATGTTCTGTGTTCCTTTGACTTCAGGGATTCATCTGAGCATCTGTAATCGGTATACATAAGGTAATGAAAGCAAAAGAAAGAAGAACTTAATGCACAATGCATTAAATGCAAACTTAAATGCACAATGATACTGAGCAATCCTTACAGACTAAAACTTAATGATGATTCTAAACCACAATGTGGCTTGATGGCTTTTTATCCCAAAAGCTAGTTCCTCCTGTCACTGAAGTCAGAATTTGGTATTTGGTCTTTGTTTCAAAGGAGACCTGAATTTCCCTGAACTAATGATGTTACTTTTTTCCCTGGAAATATAAAGTTTCTTGATCTACAGGTACATCTTTTGTGATTTTATGCATGAATAGCTTAGAGGATGCCTCAGGGTATCCTATTCTTTAACCTGAGGAAGCATATTACTGTAAAAAAGGAAATAGCATGTGTCTAGTCTCCGGCATTTCTGTTTGCTTTTTTTTTCCATATGGACAAAAATATGTTTAACACTAGTCATATATTATAAACACAGCATGGACAGGGTGAGTTAATTTCTTTCTGTTAAATATTCATAGATTATCTAAATCCTCTTGCAAGAGAGCACCCAAGTTTGAGAACAAAGGCATCTGTTTCTGTGGGGCATATTTTCCTCTCATTGCTCATAAAAATAATTCCTTTTCGTAGTTTCTTATCTGAGTCCTTAAGTTCTTTTGTGTTTGTATTTGTCATCTCTATCTTAGTGCAAATTTATTGCACTGATCAATATCTCTGGAGTTACATAATGGTTTTATGAGATACTGGATTTGAAGTCTTATCTGTTTTAATTGCTGGTCACTATTGCACAATGACAAATGGTTTTGTCCTAAATTTCATATCATATTTTATTAGACAGTCTTGCAGTTTGTTAAAGACATACTTTCTGGGTTAAATATAGGAATGAGAGAAATTATCATTAGTTTAATGATAACTGAGGAAAAATAGTAAGTAAACGTGTTTGATATTTTGAAACTGTATTTTAAACCAGATGTATTTTCTACTTTAATAACTCACTTAAATTTCTTTGTGCAAATTTCTATAGTTTAAACATCTATGTAGAAAAAAAAGCTATCCAAACTATGTGCATTCTGTGTCAAATGCTTTGGGTGGTACTCTGAACAAGGGAGTGAAGGGGTTTTATGTAACAGCTCTGTGGAAACAGAAGATGGTCTGACATCCCAGCTCTGGGATGGAGGAATTTGGCATTCTCCTGTGTCTTTCACAGCTTATTTTTACCAACTCCTTATGTGCAGTCACTTAGGAAGCCTCCATAGCATTGGGCTCAACAACATGCAAGGCCTGGGAGTGCCTTTTGCAAGGGCTTACGAAATGCAAGGTCACTTGCGCCATGGGGGCATGATTCCAGAAAGGCATTTGTGACTGCAAAAAGGAGGGTCTGGATTCATCTTATACCCTTGTACAAATATATCTGAAGGATGCTTGTCTGAATCCCACAAAAGATTCATAGGGGAGAAATGAAACCCCAAGATTAAAAAAAAAAAAAAGGAAAGATGAATGTTGACAAAAGGACAAGTTTATTTTATCAGGAAAATTCTAGTAAATGCAGTTGAGCACTGTCTGCATTATTACAGTTCTCGTGAAGAAAGGTTAGAGCACATCTAAGTATTGGTAACCTAATAATTTTGTACAAAATTCTTTACCAGGTGGAGTGTGTATTTTGGTTATATGAGGGAAGTATGTACTCATGGGAAGGAGTTTGTTTGCCTAAAATATGTGGCTTTAGTACAATATATGTGAATGGGTTTTTTTAATGTGTATTTATTATTTGCAATTATGTGCAAGAATAAAGTCAAACACATGTTATTTAATCTTTACACCTTTACATAATTTAATGAACTCCTAACAATCACCAGCACTCCATTTGGTACACGCTGCCTTGTAGGAGCTGGGCTGGTGCTTCGGCGTTCCACAGAGATCCCTCTTGCAGGGTTTAGGCTGACAAGTATCGCCTGCATGTCTTTTTCCTGTTTGTATTTGCAGGTATAAACCAAGGTTTGGGTAATATGTTAGGTGGTGAGTATGACAAAATGTACATTAAAAATGTGACATGTTTTGCATTTCAGTTGCAGGAAGAATGAGATTCTTTTTTGCCTTTATTTGTATAAGCTGGCTGGGGCAGTAGTCCCTTGGACAAATTCAGTAGTGACAAAAATAGGTGCAGATATTGTAGATTGGGTATGAGTTGATCAAAAAAGAGAGTAGTTGACTGTAAAAATGACAAAACAATATAACTTGTAAGCACTTGGTGTTCAGTGGATGTGAAAACTAACTGTAGTGTCCTCATTCAGGAATTGGAGTGGGCAGACAATGTAAGGAAAATGAGAATTGCAGCAATCTATAGCCCTATTCTTTGTGATTTGTCCTCTTAGCCCTTCTCAGGAACCTATTTTTTTCCACTTCAAATCTCAAATTAGTCAAATTACTCAATTTTCCATGCATATTTAATTAATCTTATGCTTTCTGATCAAATTACACCCATCACTTGGCTTCATTGTTCGTGTTTTAATGGCTTTGTATGTCCTTGCCAGGTGACGTGGGTTCCTCCCTGAAAGTAACGATAGTGAATGGTTCAAATATTTGTTTGCTAAAGTTGAGAAATTTGAATTGATTATTCAAATACTGATTTCAAGTGCACCGAGTTCAATCAAGCTGAGAAAAATCAAGCCTGAAAGGTATATACCTCAAATGAGGAAGTATCCTTTTTTTAATGACTGATATGTAAAAACAATTGCAGAAAGGTTTGTACACAAAAACAGCTCTTTCAAAGAAATTACTATCCTAGGTTTATGAATTATCAGAAGTAATGGGAAGTATCTCATTTAGTGACAAACCAACACCTTTCTCTACATTCATGTCTAACACACAGGCTTGGATACTGCTCGGGTGTTTGTTGCAGATGAGTAGGATCCAGCTGTGGAATGCTCACAGGCGTCTAGTTATTAACGCTGCCTCATAATGTTCCATGTGGAGATGAACTGACTTGCACAGCAATAAGAAAAAAACAGTACCGAGAGGTGAGCCTTGTGAAGATTCTCTCCACAGTCTCATTGCCAGTGATGAGAATGAAAAGTGGTTTTGACTGAGGTGATCAGGAACATTGCAAAAGAACCAGGGACAAATGGGTAATCTCTCAGTAAATATTTTTACAAAGCTTTTCAATAGGAATGTCAGAACTGCTGATATGTTCCTCATATTGAGAGAATTCCCCAGGAGTAAGTAAATAACATAGGAAAACAGCAAAATGAGGAGCAGCTTAACCTCTCTGCCCAAGTGATGACTTGCCATGGACATTGATGCTTGACTTAATCTTTGAACTGGTTAAAGAAGTGGCAGAGAAGTGATCCATGCATGTCATTCATAAGATCAGAAACAGGTCAGCACTCCTGTGTTCATAGAGGTCATTTCTGCTCATCATTCCCGCTCTATTCAAGAGAGTACACAAAGTAAAGGGAATGCTAAGGTAAAGGGGAACACTTCTTAAGCACTGCGCGAGCTGGGTTGGTGGTGTGCTGGGACGCCACTGCCAGTCATTTATCAGAAGCACCTCCAAGTATGATCAGGGTAGTATTTGTTTTATGCCAGAAGCCTGGTGCTCTCTTCTTGAGTGACCAAATCATAACTTGTGCTCAGTCAAAGGATGCAATAGCCATTATCACAGTTTGTCAGGAGTCTTCTTGAAATACAAACAGGTGAATGCTGCACTAGGAATACTCTTTAGCCAATCGTTTGTTAGTTCAAAATATGCAGAATTGTATAAATGTAATATATTATATGCACAAACATGCAGGGGGTCTTTGCAGTTGAACTGTTATGCAGAGCTTCTTGTCTGTCTTTGTGCTTTTTCCCCTCTTTCACGAGAGAGCACCAACATCTGTAGAAAAAAAACTTCTCATATCTGGAAGGCCTCTATACAGAATGGCTGATGAGGGCTCTGGGAGTTAAACCAAAGAGGCTTTATATTGTCCTTTTCATTTTACGGAAGAGCAGAGATAAGAAAAACAATGGCAGCACTAAGGAGTTAAAATTTTTTCCCCTAATAGATGCCTGCATGAAGAAACAAGCATTTGTGTGGGAAGTCACACAGCTAGATTACATAGAAAGAGATGACCAACAAAGGTCTTTCTTCATCCAAAAATATGGCAAAGGACAGTGTGTTCACCTTTCCAAAATACTTTAGCCCATGGAAGAGTAAGAGTTTCTCAGTGAAATTACTGTAAGTGTTGGTTTCCCGAAGCAGCATCCATTTCCTGAATCTCATTCTCAGGAAAAGGCACATTGGGAATTCCCTGAAACTTTCAGCCTTGCATAAACATCCAACACAGAAAATTTCAATCCAAATAATTCAAATTTGGTGAAGTTAAAAGCAATGAGAGGTAGAATATCTGGAGGAGAAATAGCAGGTAATTTTAATCTTAGCTGGCACTGCAACCTCTGTTTATATTTGAAGGAGATTGCCATATCTGAAAGGCTTCTCTCCAAAGCTAGTGCAAGTATTCTGCAATGACTTAAAATCATGTACATTTTACAATCGATACACCAAGCCCATCAACAATTTCATTTCTAAACAA